GAGCAACTCTCAGGAAACCCTGTCTACCAGTGAGGTAAGACAGCACGATACTAGTGTCCAGCAGGGGAGTGGTGGAAGCCTCGTTGCTTGCGATATTTAAACTGGACAGGCCTACATTGAGGGGGTATTTGGATGGGCTTGACGTGACTTACTTTTCATGCCTCTGGTTCTTTTCTGCCTCTTCTTCATTCTGCCTTCTTGGCATTCCGTTCGAAGCCCAACTTCAACCTGAGGGACAGGAGCACCAATCTGAAGACCTCAGCACTGACCTGGTTAGGTAGATGCTATCCATTGAGTCACCAGGTGTGCTCACCTCTGCAGCAGCCTCTTACGTTCCGTGAAGCTGCCTGGTCTAGGTGTTTTGTACAGTCAGCTTCATGCACAGCCAATACGTTGACCACTGCAGTATCACGAGTCTGTTGTTGGATCCGTTGATCTCTACCTGCCCTGGAGTAATCTTGGTTACTGTCCCCTCCCTTTTCACCTGCTCTCCACTACTCATGACCTTAGTCAAGAGTGTGCTAACGTTCCATTTTGCCTGGTTTGTAAATGAATTTCACAGTGTCAGTGAGTTGTTACGTATCATTGAAGGTGGGCGAAGCTCTCAAGGTTCAGAGATGTCGCTCTGTTTGGAACAGGTGCTGATCCCACCTTTGAGACATTATCTAGGTTTCCCTGCTCAGGGTAGTAGGTTAGGAATCTCTTGAGGATGAGTTTGTGGGGGATTGGGTCACAGAGACCTACTTGAGACTGTCACCCGGTGTGATCATACCACTGAACCCGCTTGTCTGCCATGTGGAGTGCCCCATCACCCCCTCTTTCTACGCCAGAAGCTCTAATCTCCCCCAGCCAGTGCACAGAGTTGGGGTAACAGCCCCCTAGGCGAGTGGCAGAAACTTATGACAGCTCAGCTCTGGGAGAGTTCTGTTACAGGGAGTTGTCAGCACCCAGGAGCGCAGCCCTAAATAAATCTGTTTTAGACAGAGAAAGCTCATAATTTCGCTCTTTTTGTCAATGAAGGAGAGAGATGAACAGCTGTTGCTCCCCTCACCCCACAGTAACAATTATTTACACTGAATTTGATAATAAAAAGTGTCTTTATTAAGTATAAAAAGTAAGATTTAAATGGTTGCAAGTGGTGACAGATAGATCAAATTAAGCTACAAGTTAAATCCACAAAACACACCATCTAATCCTAATACACCAAGAAAAATTGTTACAAAACATAATTTCTCACCCTAGTCCTGATTTCGGGTAAGAATCTTCAAATCAGAGCTGATCTTTTTCTCTGACCCAGGACCAGCAATACTCCTCCACCCTCTGGTTACAGTTCTCTTTTTTTCCACGTGTTCTCTTGTATCCTCTTAAGTGGAGGAGGCAGTTTCAAAAGCCAGCTGAAGACAATCACTCTTTGCTTCCCATTCCTTAAATAGAATTTCCCCAGGGTAAGACTCCTTTGTTCAATCCTCCCCCTTCCCCCAGTGTTCCCTGTAAGATGAGCACTTGGGTAGCCACTTTGGAAAGATGCAAGTGCTGCCCAGCTAATTAGCAGAGCGCCTACAGCCAGCAGCATATGTTTCTAGGTGGTGCCCATCTGCACTTGCCTTGGTGCAATAACAATATTTGTTTCACACATGGATGGAAAACATCAGAGGGAACATTGCCTCCCCCTAAAATCCTGCTGCTTTGAGGGACCAGATCCTCTGCCCCTGCCATAGGGGGGCAAGAGAGACCTTTGTTGGTCTGTTATCCTAATATATGGCTCTTGTACCGTGTTTGATGTTTTCTGTGTCCTTCACCCCTAAATGGAAGGATGTTACCCCCTCCTAGCTGTAGAGACAGATGCCATTTTGTGTTCTCTTCCCAATGCACTTCACGACACAGGAAATGCATACCATAAAAAAGACTTTGCATTTGTTCTTTCTTTAGCGGGATGTGGGTGGTGGTATTCTCTTCATCTAAAACAAGTCATTGAGACTTAAATTGCTTTGTTTTCATTGTGTTAGGAGAAACACAATAGCGGTAGTCTTAACCCAAACATTTTACAGAGGAGCTGCATTGCACTGTGTTTTCTGTAAAATCACAGGAGTTGAGAGTAATCTGGGCTCTGAAAGAAGGAGAGAACATGCCAAAAGGAACTCACAATAAAGGCAGAGACTTCTTTCTTGTGAGTAAAACACCTGTCACAGCTGCCAGGAATCTGCTAATTACACAATAACTTTATTATGTCCCACTCCGAAGAACAAACAATACTTGAAGTCTGAGAAATTAGCAGGCTTTAGAATAGATTAATGCAGTCAAAATGTCTGAATGAAGCACATATTCTTTGGATCCTCTCAGAAGCTCCAAGAGAGTAAAATGACTTCCAGACTCTCTTCTTTGTTGCTAGCACTACAGAATAAAGTAATTGTGCAATTAGCAATAGATTAGTGGCAGGAGAAAGAAGGTGCAGGTAAAAGGTGGAGTTCTCTGAATGGGAGTGCAGCATGAATGCAGCAGCTCTCCTCATCATAGCTTAACCTTCTGTTAGCCCCTGGTAGCTTCTGGAAAACAGAAGAGAAGCATCACCAGATGGCTGGGATTTTTCTTTTGTGTCTGACTAAATCACAGTGTATTTGATTAGGGCACTTCAAGAGTGCGTCCTTGCAAAAGCTTGCATTGAATTCCTCATGTTCCCCAGCTCCTAACAGTTACCCATTCATGCAAGACAGATGGCTGGGGCTTGCAATTTTAGGTTTGATCAGGGGCATTATTGGTGATCATGGGGCTTGTGAAAAGAACAATTCATAAAGATTCTTCTTGGCCTCTGAAGTTCCATGAGGTTTCCTGGCCTGGAGAACTTTCCATCATGAAAGCTGATGGGCAGTTTTACAATGGGGACTGTATAAATCAGGGTCTGATTGAAGTAAGTAGCTGGACTTGGCTATTAGGTCACTGGTCCATTTTTTCCCAGGCTTTCTTTTGAATATGAAAAGTGGGAAGGGGGCTGTGCTCTTGGGTGCAGGCATGTGCATGCTTGGATGTTCAGAGATGTAAGGGGGTTGGTATGTTACCATTGTTTGGGATGTTAGCACATCTGAAGGAAGGTTGAGTGTGCATGTTTGGCTGTGTTAGGATGACTATGTTTGCCGGGGCTGTTGTGTGTGTGTGTGTGTGTGTGTGTGTGTGTGGTTGGAAGGGTCTATATGTGGTATGTGGGTGGGTGTTGTGAAAGGACTGGGAGGTATGTGCAGATGGTGAAGTATTTTGGGGTGTCAGAAGGAGGGGGGCAGGTGTTTAGGGGTGTTAAGGTAACTGTGGATGTGGCTGCATTGAGAGATGGGAGCAGGTGTTTGGGGGTGTTAAGGTAACTGGATGTGGCTGCATTGAGAGATGGGAGGGAGCTATCTGGATGTAAGGGTGCACCTGCTGCAATGGCTCAGGCATCACTCAGTTCCCACCAGGTGAGAAGTGTCAGCCCGTGGCTTAGAAGCACAGTGTGGGGAGAGATGCTGCTCTTTTCTGTTAGTCCTGCTGCCCAGCAGTGTGAGGGTGTGTCTACATTGCGTTCCTCTTTCGAGAGAGGAATGCAAATGAAGACGAACTAAATTGCAAATGAAGCACGGATTTGAATTTCCTGTGCTTCATTTGCATAATCACGTCCGGCCGCTTTTTCAAAATACTCTATTTTGAAAAAAGAAACGCTGTCTAAACTCTTCTTTTGAAATTACCCTTTCTCCTTATAAAATGAGGTTTAAGGGTAATTTCAAAAGAAGAGTTTTCTTTCGAAATAACCGCATCTAGACAGCGTTTCTTTTTTCGAAATAGGATGTTTTGAAAAAGGGGCCGGATGCAATTATGCAAATGAAGGGCGGAAAATTCAAATCTGTTCTTCATTTGCAATTTAGTTTGTCTGCATTTGCATTCCTCTCTTGAAAGAGGAGTGCAGTGTAGACACACCCTGACTGAGTGGTAAGATGGATAAAGCATCCCTGGAAGTGAGCCGCAGGTGGGGAACTGGGAGTTAAACAATGCTTGAGATGGCAACAGTCATACTTAGAGAAGAGGAGGAGGAACTCTACTGAGTCTAATACAGCTCAGCCCCAAGCTTGCACCTACGGCTGCCTGGCTCTGCACCATGCTTGGGGTTCGCTGCTGGTGCTGGGCATGGGTACTTGTGGCAGCTCACATTAAGGAGGAGCGGGGAGGAACCAACACTGTGATGTGTCAGCAAGTGGGAAAACCTCCTCTAGCTTCTTCTCAGGCAAGAGCAGCCCGACGAGCTGCTGGCAGGTGGAGAAGGTTGAGCGGATTCCCCTGGATTGCAGTCAGAGAGCACTGGCTGTTTACCTTGGCTACTTCTGCCTCTGTCTGTTAAAGCTCTGGCGCTGGGGGTGAGGCGGAAGCTCAGCTGGAGGGGAGGGGGATGGCTCTTTGCACAGAAAGGCGGGGGGTGGATTTTCATCACTGCGATTCACTCGGGATTGACCCCGGAGGGTTCCAGAGCACAGCAGCGGGATCGAGGGGTCATGTGCATGTAGGCAGGGGAAGAGAGAAAGAGGCATTTACATAGGTAGCGAGAGGGAGGTGTCCTCGGACCACAGCCTGAGACCCAGGAAACCCTGTTTGTGAACGGTGCTTCCCCAGTCTGCACTCTTGGTTACCTAGTTAATCTGCTTGGGTTCTCCTATAATCGTGCCCCATGCTGTGCTATCTGAATGCTGCAGAGGCTGAACTGTGCTGCAGGGCCTCGAGCTGGGGACCCTCCCTGTTCTATTGCTACCTGTGCTGTAGTTCTAGAGTTTACTCTTCAGGGTTGTCAGTCTGGCTCGCTCACTGGCATGGTGCAGAAGATAGGCTCTCCTCGGCACCCATGCATTGCGTGGGAGATGCTGGGATAATTAACCCTGTTCAGGAGGCGAAATTAGTATTTATCCAGATGCCACGACTAACCACACAGGGACCTGGGCTGCTTGTCTCTTCACGGTGTTGTCTGACATTTCTCTGTGTGATGGCTCTAGGTCCTGTGGCAGTGATCAGTGGGGAGGAGGATTCTGCCAGCCCCCTCCACCATATCAACCATGGCATCACCACACCCTCGTCGCTGGATGCTGGCCCGGACACGGTGGTGATCGGCATGACCCGTATTCCTGTCATCGAGAACCCCCAGTACTTCCGGCAAGGCCACAACTGCCACAAGCCAGATACATGTGAGTGCCTTCTCCAGCTGACCCTTCTGCTTATGCAGGGCATGAATGGAGGCCAGGGTGGGGGGAAGAGGAAGGGGTGGGATGAGAAGGAAGAGGTAAAGAACGGGAAGAAGAGGATGTGGGGGAGGATAATGGGCTTTGGATGGTCAAGAAATGAAATGACCTCACAGGTAAATCTCAGGACTCAAAAATCACAACAAACATGTAGGTGCTTCAGAAGGAGAATTCCCCCCCCTCCCTCCACTCCACTTTCATCCTCCTATCACCACCCACTGTTCACCTTCCCCATTCAGGACAGAAACAACCGAGAGTGGAGCCTCCAGAGGTTTGCTTTGGACATGGTACCAGAGGCATGAGCAAATGCGACTTGAGAGCACAAGGCATTAGAGAGACCCACTTCCTTTGTGGGATAAGAGTGCATCTCCTCTTCCTTCCCCAATATATCCCTGCCCTCACAGCAGCGAGACTGCCTCCTTGAGCACCCTGCAAACAGAGTGCCAAGGGCAAACAGCAGGGTCTACACATAGGGCAGATACACCGAAAACACTTGGAGTAGGAGAACAACCGATTTGGACATCCCATTTCTTATGCTCAGGGAGGCATCTGAAAAGCATGAAGTCTGCATTGTGAGCAAAATCCATTAAATAGCAAATATCTTCCACGCCAGGTGATAAAGTGCCCTTCCCAGCTTAGCGGGAGCCCTCATAAACTCTGAAGCGCTAGTAAAAGATGCACTTTTGCACACCACATACCACGACTGCCTCAGTACATGAAGCCCACACACAGTCAATAGGTCAGATAGCAACTTCTCGCTGTATCCTCAGGCTTTGCCAGTTCCTCGCAGCAACTGCCCTTCACCCCACTTATTGTTCAGCTTCTTGGAATATTTGGCATTTCTTGGTTCCAGCCAGGATTGGATGTAACAAAGTACCACACGGAAAGTTATTGTCACCATCTTTCCGGCCTGACCAGAAGCAGGAAGTACCAGGTATCTTGCTGGAGAGCCTACTGTTGTCAGACTTCCAGTCTGTTATTGCTAACTTGGAAAGCTAGAAAATTGTGAGTCAGCAGCTGAGCTTTGAGGAGCTCATAGAAATCAAACTTCCAAACTGTTAAAAATTGACCCAGTACTGAACATTAGGCAGGAAGCTGGTTCTCCATGGCTGCCTTTTTGCAATCAGGCTGGAACAACACCCCCTTCTCCTCCTGCTGAGATGTCAGGGGCTAGTCCTATCACTGACGCGCACACAAACTGAGAGAGAAACATGAGCTGAACCCGCCAATCTTGGACTCCTGCTTGTTGCACTTCAATCACAAGAGCAATGGAGTGTATCCAGTTATTGTGCCTGGCTTTCCCTTTGATTTGCATTATACTGTATTTCTTTGGTCTGCTTTTACTGGGCGGGATGGAGTGTTTTGGTCAGCAAGAAGGAGCCAACTAGTGTGGTATTTCTGTGTCATATTTATGTTTTTATATTTTTATAGTACCTCATCTCAAAACACTTTACAGACTGATGGCTCTGATTCTCTCCCTTCTCTGTAATCTATGGTATTTCATAGCACGCCAGCCATTTTGGAGCATTGAAGTAGTGGTGGTTGAAAATCAAAGGATTCAATTTACTCTGAGTTTGGCAGGGTCTGGTTACATATTGTGAGGCTGACCAGAAAGTAGATCACAGCAGAATTTGCTCAAAAGGGTTCTGTTTAATTAAGATCTGAAAAGTTCATCACACCAGAGAGGCTAGAATCTGGCTCACAGAACTGGGCCATGCGGGGAGAATTTAACATTGTAAATAAATACACGCACAACAGATTATAGAGAGAGCATTTATCTCTACGTGACTGTCTGGAATCATTTACCGGACTCCATGTTTCCGGTGTTCGTTTATTATATTTAGGGCCCAATCCTGCAGTTCTTACTTAGGCCAAATTCCCTGTTATAGCAGTAGCAATGTTGCCTGAGCCCTAATATTATAGTTCACATTTAAAATAAATAAAACCAACCAGTTTTTTTCCAAACTTCCTGCAGCTTCCATTTGATTTTGATTTTACTCCAGCTATTCCACCCAGTGCTAATTTGGCCTCTTTGGTTTGGTTTGTGGTGAGTGACTGTTCTCATCCACCCACCATTGTACACGCTGAGCCTCTGGCTTGTTCTTCTCAAGGACTTGGACTCAAATATTTCTCCCTCCTCCCCTTACCCCTATGAAGGCGAGGTGAAGTGCTTTAGATAGGCAAGGATATTAATACCTAGCAGAAAATGGGCTGGTGTAGTTCCTGGACAAACCAGGGACAGGTAGCTCCTGCCCTTCTGATTACTGCCATCCTGCTAAATCAACCAGCTGGATATTAGATTGTGAAGCCCATAACCAGCAAAGGCATTTACCCCCTTCTCTCCTCTCTCCCTCCCCTGTAAGCTATCTAGCCCATGTTCTCAAACAGGTTTTGTTAACGCACCATATAGATTTTGGGAAGTAACTTCTCTCTTTCACTTGGCCTGCCTCCCTGGTCGGCTGTGATGCCAGGTATCTGGGCAGACACCTGTTAGTGAATTACAGTGAGGAGAGAAAACTCTCAGTGCTTAATGCAGTATTAATAGTACATTGGTGTGATATAGATTTCCGTCACCCTCTGCACTAACAAACATCGCTTATCATGTGGGAATGATGGATGTTTATTCCCAGCCACTTAGTTCTGCATAATGGAATTGCAGATGAAATATGGAAAGCAGCTTGCTGCCTGCTATACTTTGCCCCCTCTTGCTGCTTCTGTACAAGCCTGTCCTGCGGGGGGTACTCTTACAGGCCCATTAATTACTGCTGTCTGTGAGGAGACAGAGATGTTTGCTTGGATGTACCATTTTTTTTTCTTGTCAATAAGATGAGGGATGCTGGAGCTCACTCTGACACCGGTAATTTCCTGGGAGCTCGTCAGACCAGGGCCTTTCCCTCACCTACTTGCTGCTGCTCCCAGAATTAGACAGACCGAAGGAAAGAGTCATTCTTCCCTTCCAGTTGTGGGAGCAAGTGTACCATCCTGTTCCTGTATTAGGAAGTATTGACCCTTTGGGACTTCGTGCTCTGCTCCTCCCATACCTTGCCATTCTCTTTGCTCCTTCCCGCCATAACTGCATGTGCACTGCTCAGCACATTGGCTTGGAAGGATGCCTTTAAAAGATACAACTAAAAGCATCCGCTTCAGTAGTTCTCACACCGCTGCAGGGGGGGTTAAGTAGAGTGTCAGATTTATGGGACAAGTTGATCTCCGAGGAGTGGCCTCTTTTTTCTGGGACATTGAACAGGAATCAGGTGAGTACATCTGCTGAACTGAGATCTCAGGGAGACCAATGGGCATGGATGAGTCTATGCCTTCACTGTCATCTGGAAATAGTTGTGCTGCTTTTCTAAAATGCAATTTAAGTTGTTTTGGGCTCGGGCACCATATGGAAAAGAACTCATCAGAATTCAGCATGCAGCAAGTTCAACAGGATCTCATCCCAGGAGTGACGCTGGTGTTGAAGCAAAAGATGACTCATTCTACCCTCCAACATATCCTGAAAATGGCAGTCAGATCCTGTGGGCAGGAAGCAGCAGTTTGCTCCAAAAATTAACCACATGACGATTGAAAAAATGGCAAGTGTCAGCCCAAGAGACATTAACACTGATGCGTAGCCCTGATGCTGGTGAGAGGGACCAAATGCCATTGTTTTGACCATGAACATCTGCGCTTGTTAATGGCAATGGAGACTTTTCAGTCTAGCTCCAATTTGCCAGTCATCAACAGTCTAAAAAGGATCCATGTTGCCCCCTGACTGTGATTCCAGGTGGGTGATGGAAGAAGCTGGACATTTCTTAGGTCTAAAAGCTTCCCAGATGTTTCAGATGAAAAGGTTTGGAGGCTGATTTTGCTTTGGATGATTATAATAATAACAATAACTAATATAAGTGATATTAAATCAATTAATAATAAGCACTGGACATGCTGAGCTGATTATTTATTAGAACCTCTTGATTCTGTATCCTCAAGCTCTGTGCAACCATGGTAGCAAAAGTTCAGTTGGCTTCTTGTTTTGTCAGAACAGCAGTAACCCAGGAGCAATTGTTCTTGAAGAAAACTGGATTTTTCTGAGGCTGTTCTAGAGCAGAACTAGGAAGAAAATGCCTCCGAAATGAAAAACACTTTCAGAAAAGTTTGGATCCCTCCTTGGAAACTCCAGCAATTCTCAGATTGTGTCTGTGGTAAAGAGTCAGTCGGAGATGCTCTTTCAAAATCGGTTGCTCCGGCCCCAGTAAAAGCAATGATGCTAGAGCTGTACAGAGTCTGCTTTGATTTTTGTTGCTGCTGCTGTTGCTGACTGGGCACGACTGTTGTTTGGTTTGTTTTCCTCTGTTGGGACTGGTGCAGCCTCAGCACCATGATGCATTCACCATGGGGGCGGAGTTGACGTCCTTCTATAGAGTACTAATGAGGGGTTTTTTAAACTTCATTTATTACTGGCTGCCCTGACATAATTGCATATTCGAAGTTAGTAATTACACATATTCATACTAATTAAGTAATTAGATATAATTATGCTAACTGTAAATATATGGTAATTGGCTAAAAAGAAGTACTTTGGAAAAACTAAGGCAAATCACACAATAAAGACACCATCAGCAGCCTTTTCGCATATCATTCTGTCTTTATCTTGCATTTGTAATGCAGTTTGAAAGGAAATCTGTGGTCCATTCAAAAATCATATTCTTTAGACAAACAGATTTCCTCCCCTATGTCTCTAATAACACTAGAGAGTGAAAATGGGAGAGGATCTTTAAAAATCCAGTTTTGCTCTCTCTGCTTCTGCTTTTTGTTCACCAGCTGTATTTCCTTTAGCTTGGATATAGGAAACTGACCAAGTGCATTCCATTTTCCTTGTAATCATTGTGCTCCCAGGTTCATCAAGGTGCATAATTCAGGTTGCAATGTTTGCTGTGTATTCGTATGAAAACAACGGAGTTTAC